TACCTGTTTCAATTAATTCCGCTATAAATATTAAGACACAACTGTGTGTTACTATAAAATGCTCAAATTCACCATAAAAATGCAGGCAAATAAACTCACCTCGCTTATGGTTTTGTTGGTATGAAAATTGTCAGTTATTATTTGGTGAAGTTCGAATTTGTTATTATAAAAGGAATATACTAAAAATGATAAAAATCATTTCAAAATTGAAAATGTTAATAAGGTGTTAAATATTATTAACAATTGTTATAAAATAAAACATATAAATAAAAAGTTTCCATAATAAGTTACTGTTTAAAAATTGCAAACCCGTATAAAAGCTATTTCGACAAATATAGAGTTTTTTTTATCGGTGAATAATCTTTAAAAGAAATAGTTTTATTAATTAAACAAACACATGAACAAAATGTTAAATTTGAATACACAGCCTCAACCAAATACATAATAATATCATACAAAAACAACGCTTATAAAGAAAAAAATTCCTCACATAACACAAAATCATTTAAAACTCTATGCAATATACATAAATGCTTTAAAATACAACAACACTAACCTGTACTTCAACAATGACGTCATATAAAGTACCAAAAACTAAAAAAACAATAACAACCAATTATATTCCTATTGCACATGAAATGACGAAAAAAGTTATATATACATACATACATTCATACATATGTATATACATACATACATACAACATCACTTTGCTATGAACCAATCCAGTAAAGAGAAACAGACAAATTACAAACAACAACACTATTAACATACCCTTCAATCACAACATCTTCGGTTTAGTAACAAAACAAAACACTTGTCGCGACAAACCCGAAATGCAAATACACATAATCAATCACACATATAGGAATTTACCCGAACGACACGAAAAAAAATGCATTTTATTTGGAGCGCTAGGGCTCCGCTGCCAACAGGTGACATTGCAATTTTTTTAATTGTTGGAAATCTTGCAAAAAATCATATTTTCCTTTAGTTAAACAAACACTTTTTATTCATAATTTTTTAAATTTCACTTTTTTCATAATTTTATTAATATTTAAACACTTTTTAATAAAATTTTAAACAATTTAATGGAATCAACGAAATTTTACGTATAAACTAGACGAACAAAAGGGAATAACTAAAAAGCGGCAAATAAAAAGGAGAGAGAGTGTGAAGTTAGTAAATGACATATTCAAGAGATTTACATATGTTCCAAATGACAATTGGTTGCTTTGGAGGGTGGTGGGAGGTAAGAGCAATAAAGATTTATGTACATATGCATAATTTGGAATTTAAGAAGAGAGTAAAAGTGAGGAAAAGAAAGTCGTTAGTTAATATTTTAATAAGGTATTTATGTGGTGAATATGTGTTTGGGAGGAAAGCAATTATTTTGTTATTGTAGCTTACATATGTTTATAAAGAGGAATGTAATATGTTCATTGGTTATACATAAGTATTTATGTATGTAGGTATGTGGAGCAAATAGTTATGTATTTAGTTATTTAAACTTTCGGATGAGAAAAGGGGAAATCTAGTTGTGTTTAACCGATATGTCAGCATATGCCAACCTTGGTATAATACATATTATAACAAATTGTTTCTGTGCTTTCAATACAATATTTTGTTATTGAATAGACTAATAATTTTCATAATCATCATTAACTCCACAATAGTCAAATATGAACCGGTTCAGGTTTTAGATAGTAATATGATTTATATTGATTCGTATTATGGGAATTATGTATGTGAAATTTTAAACCAATTCTAATCATATTTAACAATATTATTTAAATAGCTGTTACAGTAGTTTCAATAACAACTAATCAAGAATGAAAAAACTTAATATTTTACTCTTTATTTTTAGAATTTCTTTCATATCTCCGTTATTATATTTATATTTTGCTGATTTTAAATAAAAAATTTCCTGAAAGCATTTTTGATAGAAATATTGAAGATTTAGGTTTAGCAGTTACAACATGCAGTAAAAAACTATAGATACATTATGTATAACAGTCAAGTGCGGACACAAGTGTTAAAAAGTACGATGGTTATATTATGTACGAAACGAAAAAGTCCTAAACCACTCTTAAAACCATTAAAATTAGCAAACAAAACAAACAGACCAACACTAAATGCAACAATAACAACAGCCAAAGCAAAGAAACAAAAACAACACACATTATTCCCACTAGCCTCGCTATACAGATTAAAAAACAACAACAGCATCCATCAAACATACAATACAAAATAGAATATTACAAACAACAGCAACAACAACATTATTAACATACCCTTCTTCGTTTCTTTCTTAACAAAGAACACTTGTCGCGACAAACCCGAAATGCAAATACACACAATCAATCACACATGTATAAATTTACACGACCGACACGAAAAAAAAATTGCATTTTCTGTGGAGCGCTAGGGCTCCGCTGCCAACAGGTGGCTTAGCAATTTTTGGCAAATTTTTTAATTGTTGGAAATCTTGCAAAAATTCATATTTTTCTTTAATTAAACAAACACTTTTTATTCACAATTAATTAAATTTCATATTTTTCATAAATTTATTAATATTTAAACACTTTTTAATAACAATTTTTAACAATTTAATGGAATCAACGAAATTTTACGTATGAATAAGACGAACAAAGGGGAATAACTAAAAAGCGGCAAATAAAAAGAAAAGAGAGTGTGAAGTTAGTAAATGTCAAATACAAGATATTTATGTATCAAATGACAATTGGTTGTTTTTGGGTGGTGGTGGGTGATGTATACATAATTTGGTACTTATTAGTGTGGAATGGGGAGAGGGTAAAAGTGATAAAAACGAAGAAGTTATTATGTTGAATATGTACTATGTATGTATGTAATGAATATGTATGTATGTACAATGTGTTAGAGAGAAACGGAATTGTTTGTTATTGCAGCTTTTTTAGGTTTATAAAGAGGTAACAGATTTATACTATTTATTTATTCATTGGTTATACAAAAATATGTACATATGTACATATATGTTGGGGTGGTAGGTAGAGGAAATACATAGTTATGTAAGAATTTAGTTATTTAAAATTTCGCATGTGTAAAAAGGAGTAAAATCTATTGTCGTTTAACCGATATGTCAGCATGTGATAACCAGGGTATGTCGAAATAATAAAATAAAATGTTAATGTAGATTGCATCGTTTTCATCGATATTCTAGAGGGAGTTATTTAGAATAAATCCATTTTCCGGGAATATATAAATTTGTATGGGAACTTTATGAAATTTTGAAATGATTCCACTTATGTTCAACCATGTTAATTTCTAGCCGAAAAAAGTATGAGAAAAAACGTAATATTTTCAGAGGCTATTTCGGAATTTTGCTCATATCTCCGTTATGCATGGTCCGATTTTGCTATATAGCCTTCACGCGAACGTGAGGGTCATAATAAATTAATTTTGTTTTAAAAAGTGTTATATACCAAAAGTTTATTTACAAAAAAACATACACAATGTACAACATAAGCAGGTGCAGGTTAAAAAGTAATATAAAAAGTTCCTGCCATTCAAAACAAAGTGCAATGGTTATATGTATTATGTAAAAGGTCCTAAACCACTCTTAAAACTATTAGAATCATTAAAAGAAAAGTAAGCTAAGAAACAACAACAACACTCATTTTTCTCACTAGCCTCGGTATACAGATTAAAAAACAACAGCGTTAAAATGCTATACAAAATGTATAACAGTGCTGACACAAGTGTTAAAAAGTACCTGCCAATACAAAGTGCAATGGTACTAAAACTAAAAAGTCCTAACCCCCTTTGGAAAACATTAAAATCAACAAACAAAACAAACTGCCCAACACTAAATGCAATAATAATAACAGTCAACGCAAAGTAACAAAAACAACACACATATTCCCACTAGCCTCACTATACAGATAAAAAAACAACAACAGCAACAACATCCATCCATCAAACATACAATACAAAATAGAATATTACAAACAACAGCAACAACAACATTATTAACATACCCTTCTTCTTCGTTGTTTCTTAAAAAAAGACTTCTCGCGACAAACCCGAAATGCAAACACACATAATCAATCACACATGTATGCATTGAAACGACCGACCCGAAAAAAAAAATCATTTTCTGTGGAGCGCTAGGGCTCCTCTGTCAACAGATGACTTTGCAATTTTACACAAATTTTTTAATTGCAGGAAAAGTTGCGAAAATTCATATTTTCCTCTAAATAAACACACACTTTTTATTCACATTTAATTAAATTTTACTTTTTTCATAAATGTATTAACATTTAAACACTTTTTAATAACAATTTTTAATAATTTAATAAGATCAACGGAAATTTACGTATAAATGAGACGAATAAAAGAAATTAACTAAAATGTGGTGAATTAAAAAGAGTGTGATATTAATTGAGAGCATTTACCAACTGTCATTGGTAAAACTGTGGTGGATTAGTGGTGTAATAAGTAGCCGAATTATTAACATTAGTTATTAATAAATTAATAATAAGTTTATGATTTAATTTTAGAACAATTATTTAATTGGTGAATTGATTAAAAAGTAAAAATATTAAATTTCTTTGCAAAAAAAATACATACATAAATCATTGTTTCCCTTTTCCACATCCGTTTATACTTATTTATAACTTCCGTATGTGGTGTAATTTCCTAAAGTCACCACTCTCTAAACTTATAGCAAAGTTTTTACAAATTCTTCAGATTTTTACAAAAATTATATAACAAAAGATTGTATTATATTTTATTATATATTACATAACACTTTTAATTACAAAATCTTAACAAATTAGCTTAAAAATAATTTAAAATTAAGAATAATTTCTACATTTCCTGTTTTCTTTACATCCGTTATACTTTATTTTATAATAAAAACATTAAACAATAAACAAAAATACAAAAATGTACAACTCTGTTTTGCTATAAATCAACAAATTCACCTCTGCAAAACAGGTAAACATTAACAGCTGTCACAACAGCTGTTTGCCGGTTTTTTAGTTGTTGTTGTCAAACTTAACAAATTCATTTATTTTTCTGCGGAACAATTAAGAAATTAGTATTTTCTTAGTTTTATTAACTAAATTAATGTTAAAAACTACTAGCAAACAAGCTTCAAATTTTCTACGTTTTTACGGCAATATGTCAACCGGTTTAGCTTTGCCAGAAGTGGTTAAACGTTTAGAGGTGTTTGCTCCCTTAAGTTATGCCGAAAAAATGGGACAATGTGGGTTTGCTGCTGGAACCATACAATCAGGGGTAAATTTATTAGAGAATAAATGACATTTTTAATGAATGAAATTATTTCAATTTGTAGACCCATTGAAAAAATACTTTTAACTAATGATTTAACCGAACGTGTCATGCAAGAAGCTGTGGATAAAAATGTCAATATGATTGTGTCATATCATCCGCCAATATTTTCTGCTTTAAAAGAGAATAACTCAAAGGTAAGTTTAATTAAATTAATGAATTAAATAATGGGTTTCTGTTTTAATTTTTACTTTTTTTGTAGAACATGGAAGGAACGTATTGTTTCCATATGCTTGGGTAAATCAATTGCTTTATATTCACCTCATACCGCATGGGATGCTGCATTGGGTGGTGTTAATGATTGGCTGGCCAATGCATTACCCGTCAAAAATATCAAACCTATTCAGGTAAGACAGTTTTCGTTTCAGTTTCTTAAGATAAATTATAAAAATAATGTTGGACAACATCTCATTAAACTCATAGGATAACTTTTACACAAATATCCCAAAAATGAAAAGAACCTACATATAAAAACTTTTAGTTCTATGCCGATTTAAAAAATCTCAAGCCTATAGTAGAGGCAAGATTACAGAATGTATTATAAACTAGGTTAGACTATAGTCTGGACTATAGACTAGACAATAGACTCAACTATAGACTAAACTATAGTCTTGACTATAGACTAGTCTATAGTCTGGACTATAGACTAGACTTTAGTCTAAACAATAGACTAGACTATAGTTTGGACTATCGACTAAACTATAGTAAAGACTATGACTAGACTATAAATAGCTATATACTAGACTAGTGGATTCTATAGTCCAGACTATACTATAGAATCCACTTATAAGCTTGATATGCATTTTTTTATATCCCATATTGTTTATTTATTGACTTTCAAAATGAGTTTGCATAAAATATTTATAAACAAATGATAGTGTCATATAACACGTAACAACAAACACGAAATAGGAAATAATTCAATGATGAAAATTTATTTGTAATAAGAACTTTACAAAGAATTCTGAACAGTATTTATTAACATATCGTTTGAGAATTTTTTAATTTTCTACATCTATGACTTCACAATTTCTTAACTCAAGAAATATAGTTTGGAGAATATCGTAATTTTGTTTTTAAACCGATATTTCTAATTTTATTTTTATCTAAAAAAATAAAATGATTTGCATTATTTTATTATATATCATGCTAATAACATTGGCGACAAGTTACGTTAGGGAAATATTATTAAACATTCTAAATTAATCGGTTGTAAAACACTTAAATTATCTGATAATAATACAAAACAAGAAAAGAAAATGTTTTTTTTTTTCAAAAACTACGACTGATTTTTAATGGTTATAAGTTAACGATAACAAAAGTACCTTAAAGATAATAAAATGTCTGCTATAATTTAATTTAAATTGTTTATTTTATAAAGAAACTTTTTACTTTATTATAGCTCTGCATTGTAAGTTTGTAATACATACATACATACATATGTAGAAATAAACATTTCTTAATGATATTTTGTTCAAATAATTAACTATTTTTTCTAATGTTTTCCTTAAATTACAAAAAGTATAAAAATAGTTTTAAACTATAGACTTAACAAACAAAAAATACTATTTGTTAAATTAACATTAAATCACGTTTTGTTAGCTGCTTTCGTATCTTCCCACTGCTGGTCCTTTTCTACTATAGCTTTTGTTTCAGTAAACTTTGTAGCCTTTATACCCGGCTCTTCTGTGTCCTCAATACTGGTGGCGACAAAAGATTTTCTTTATTATGTACAGTAAGAGTAAAGGTAATGGTGTCATCATTGAATTGGGCCACCGGTACCTGCACTTGTCATATCAGCTTGCGGTTGAGGTAATGTAAAACTTAACATAAATATCGCTATGCCGGTATTTTGTATGCCCGTTTCAATGGCTATAGTTAAGGCATCACGAGCTGATTGACGGCACATTAGAGCCATAGTCCAACCGATTAAATAACCTATCCAGGGTAAGGCGCTGCTGGCGAAAATTATCTGAATAGGAGGGTTAAAGGAATTAAACAAATGTGTCAGAAAGTCAGTAAATAGATAGATAGATAGATAGATAGATAGATAGATAGATAGATAGATAAATAGATAGATAGATAGATAGATAGATAGATAGATCGATAGATAGATAGATAGATATAGATAGATAGATAGATAGATAGATAGATATATATATATATAGATCTATAGATAGATAGCTCGATCGCTCTCGCGCTATCGCTCGCTCGCTCGCTCGCTCGCTCGCTCCTCGCTAGCTCGCTCGCTCGCTCTCTCGCTCGCTCGCTCGCTCGCTCGCTCTCTCGCTCGCTCGATCGCTCGCTCCCTCGCTCGCTCGCTCCTTCGCTGTTCCGCTCTCCTTCCCCCCTCTTTCCCCCTCCCTTCCACGAAACAATTTAAACATATCGAATTAACCGTAATGCAAAAGCCGTTATAAACAATATACACAATGATAACGGTTTTAAAATCTTCGCCATTTTCTTAGCTACCGACGGAGCATAATGCTGCAACGCTATGCCAATACCCAAAGGAACCACCAAAGAAACGACATAGCTGCAATAGTCTTATACGGTACCACTAGATTACCATCATGAAATATTAAAGCACCCAAAGTAAAAATCCATATAGGCATCATGCCAAAGGCAGCTAAATTACTAATAGCCGTCATGGTAATAGATAAATTAAGATTACCATTTAAAATAACCGTAAAAATATTAGAAGCACCGCCGCCGGGAGTAGAGCCCGTAAAAAGGCCCAATCTTAATTCGATCATATCGTGGAATAAAAAGTAACCAATTAAAAAACTCAAAACAGGCATGACAAGAAATTGTCCTATGAAACCTATTGCAGGACCTATAGGTTTTATAAGTATCGCCTTTAAGCATCCAATTCCAAAACTGCACCAAAATTTATATACAACAACATGACAAATATGCCCACGCATATATTGAAACAGCAAATCCCATTTGCCTATATTAACGCATAATAATACTTCAGTATTTTCTGCTGATCTTTCCGTGGGCTTATGAGGTCTGCGTAATTCAACATAGATTTCCGAACGACCCAGAAATATAGCTTCATTGTAATGTTGGCCACTCCACCATGACTGGCCGTTTCTATATCGTGTGCTGTTATTATGTTATCGGACAAACTAAGCATTCCTTATCTTGTGGTATAATATGAAATTCAAATTCTTGCCCCCAGGTGGGATCTATAAATGTTATATTGATTAACATCGAACGTTTTTGTGTCATTGTCATGTTGATGTTGTACTCCTCAAACACTACTGAACCATGAGGGCTTATTGTTGAGTTGTTCGGATAGGTATAATACTCCTCCCAGGTGGTATCATTATTGTCCGGATTATAACTTAAATTTTCGACAGTTTTACTGTATATCATCAACACACTTGTTGTTTGTATTATATATACAATTAAAAGAGATTTTTTAAAAATCATTTTTTATATATAGAAATTATATATTAAAAGTTCTTTTATGAGATTTTTTGTTGTTTGTTTAAATTTAATTATATTGTTTTTGTAATTTTAACACTCTTTTATGTTGTTTTCTATTTATTAAGTATTGAATGGTTGTAGCTCGACCGCGTATCCAACGTCAAATGAATTTTATTTTGTCAAAATTTATAGTTTTTGTTTAATAAAAGCTTTTATATTATCAAATATTGAGGTAGTTCGTGAGAAATATTTATTAATGGTCTTTATATTAATTTAATCTCTAGTAAATAAGTTTACTGATAACATTACTTTTTAAATTTCATTTGGCTTAATTAATAGTCTACTAAAATGCAATCAAATACTAAATATTTTCTTTAACCTATTAAAAAAATTCTGCATCAACATCAAAGAGAGAATAAGATCTTTTAAATATCACATTTTACAAATATCACAATTGAACTTGATTTCTGGAACTTTGATTTGGCTACATATCGTCAAACTAGATACATTTGCTCTTTTATTATATCTTTAAGAAACTTAAACTTATTTAAATTTGTTAATTTCCTTTTAATTGGATTTTAGTAGCACAATTGTAAAACAGAAAGTTGTAATTTTGTATTAAATTCGTTCAGTATGAAAAAGAAATGTTTCGTAAAAAACGTTGTTTTCCAGTTTTATTTTTTAAAAATAATTTTCGTTTATTCTACATCACTTTGAACACTTTGAAGAATCAGTTTCAACTGACTGACTGGCTAAATTAATTGTTTTGAAAATGTTTAATAAAACGTATGTTTTACAACTACAGTTGTATTAAGGAGAGCGAGTGAAATACTTAGTGCACACATTTACGTAGAAAAATTTTAATCTAAAAGAGTAATAATAATAAATATAAAAAATTAACAAATATTCCTGTTAATACAAAATTTGTCTTTAAATACCGATGTGAATAAAATTTACCCTAAATATTGAATTAACGAAAAACTCTTCAAGATATCTATCTATCTATCTATCTATCTATCTATCTATCTATCTATCTATCTATCTATCTATCTATCTATCTATCTATCTATCTATCTATCTATATATCTATCTATCTATCTATCTATCTATCTATCTATCTATCTATCTATCTATCTATCTATCTATCTATCTATCTATCTATCTATCTATCTATCTATCTATCTATCTATCTATCTATCTATCTATCTATCTATCTATCTATCTATCTATATATCTGTCTGTCTGTCAATCTGTCTGTCTGTCTGTCTGTCTATCTATCTGTCTGTCTGTCTGTCTGTCTGTCTGTCTGTCTGTCTATCTATCTATCTATCTATCTATCTATCTATCTATCTATCTATCTATCTATCTATCTATCTATCTATCTATATTTCTATCTATCTATCTATCTATCTATCTATCTATCTATCTATCTATCTATCTATCTATCTATCTATCTATCTATCTATCTATCTATCTATCTATCTATCTATCTATCTATCTATCTATCTATCTATCTATCTATCTATCTATCTATCTATCAATCTATCTATCTATCTATCTATCTATCTATCTATCTATCTATCTATCTATCTATCTATCTATCTATCTATCTATCTATCTATCTATCTATCTATCTATCTATATATCTCTCTGTCTGTCTGTCTGTCTGTCTGTCTGTCTGTCTGTCTGTCTGTTATCTGTCTGTCTGTCTGTCTGTCTGTCTGTCTGTCTGTCTGTCTGTCTGTCTATCTATCTATCTATCTATCTATCTATCTATCTATCTATCTATCTATCTATCTATCTTATCTATCTATCTATCTCTCTATCTATATGGCTGTCTGTCTGTCTGTCTATCTATCTACCTAGTTCATTATTTTAACGAAATTCCTCTCACCAAAATGTATTTGAAAGATTTATGTGACATTCTTTGGGAACTTTAAGGATAATTCCTCTACTTGAAATGAGGTAATAGGTGGTTATATTGTCTTTCAAAAGATTGTTTAACGTTTTATTATTTTTATTTGAATGAATAAATAATAACAATAATTGAAATTAGTTGGGTCAAAGAACTTTATTCGTCATATTAATGCGTCTCACGCCCAATAATTTTATAATAGACAGGCATTTTTCTTAATATTGCTTGCATATATCTCTCACTAAGACGTTATAGAATGTGAGACGACATTAAACATTTTATTATTTAGTATATGCTAACATTTTCTTTTCATATTTTTTAATTTGAAAAAGAGATTTTTTCAAATTCCAACACTTAAACCTCATTTAACAAATCCATGTTTATCTGAATAATAGATACAAATTGTAAATCTAAAAATGTGCACTATTAATTTCATACGCACTCTTCAGTTGTAAACGCTTATTGTATCTGCTTTTGATACTTTTTTCTAGTCAATTAAAAGCTTTTTTTTTAAATATGAATTTGTAAATTAGTGTTTTTATACATATGTAGGTATAATATTGAATTGTATACAAAACAAATGTGTAGTCAAGAATTATTTCTAAGCGCTAGAACATTTGTTAAAACAATTAAGTGATGACTAGTATACAAAAATTTTAACTACAACACACTTTGGAGTTTATAAACTTTGTACACCAACAAAGTTTTAATTAATTAATTAAAATATACATATATTTATATTTCAGGTAAAAACACTCTCAAATTTGCTATACACAGTGCTAAATTACATACATATACACATGTATGTTATATGAGTAATATGTTGTAGTTTTACAACCCTCAAAAATTAACTGAAAATAATTTAAGAATTAAATTTTACAAATCAATTTAAGACATTATTTAAAGGGTTATTGAAAAAGTTTTTGAAAAAATAATGTATATATAGAAGTAAATTTAAAAAAATAAGAAAATCTGGAATCTCAAGCCCACTCTAGAAAAAAAATTAAGGTTTAATGATGACAAAACAATTTAGCAATTACATATTGTTCATTACTGTTTAAATAATAATGGAGTTAATCTTTCCATTTACATTTCTTCAGTTTTTCTGTCAACTGATTTTTATGAATTTTTATCTTAATTCCTTAATACCGACAATAAAAGATATAATTAATTACATACTGATAAAAATCACAGTGGAACGAATGTTAATATGAATTATAATAATTTCAAATAGTTTTTCTTTCGATCATCAATGAAACAGAACTTCGGCCTTCTTCTTGATCTTGTTGCCAAAGTTTCGATTATTTCTCTATCTGTAGTCTTGTTTTTTACAATTATTTTTTTAATTAAACTTAAAACTAATACAATATTACTTTAAATTTACAATAAACTTATATCTAGTAATATCAATTTTATATCTATTCAACTAAAAAAGTTTCTTCGTCGAAAGCATCGAGATCTCGTTTTGTATTCCAACCAAATATTCTTCGAACAATATAGAAAATAACAATTAAACATAATGATAACAAGGCCGATAAAATAGGCACAACTATTAACATATCAGCCAGCCATAGGTTGGGTAACTGTATATTCCAATAAAACAATAGGTAAAGACATATTTAGAACACTAGTCTCGACGGCAATAGTCATGGCATCTGTTATAGAGCGGCATAGAATTTTTGATAAAACAAATGAAATTATATAACCTATAACGGGTAAAAATAAAGCAGCTAAGAAGATCTGGAAGAAAATAAGAAATTTTAATATATTTTAAATAATAAGGAATAGAAAAAACCAACCATCAAGGTAATTTCCTTAAAGGCAAAGGCATTTATGCCCACTGTTACGGCGACCAAACACAAACTCAATAACACCGAAACGGGTTTCAAAAAACGAAATATAAATCGTGTAGTTTTGGGTATAAAAGTACGTAATATAACTCCCACTAATAAGGCCAATAAAAGACCAACACAACCAACTGCCAAGTTCACAAAGGGTAAATTCAACTTAGAATCATGATAAAGAACAGGACCCATTAGAAAAATCCACAAAGGTAGCATACCCAAAGCCAAGACACTATTTAAAGTGGTGGTAGCCAAGGAAAGATTAATATTTCCCTTCAAAAAAACATTACAAATATTAGCGATACCGCCACTGGGTGCTATGGCCGTAAAAAGTAAGGCCAATTGTAAATTTGTATTAGTTTTAAACATTAAAACACCCAAACCAATAGCCAAACCCGGCATTACAATATAGCGGGAACAAAAACCCAATAAAGGACCTATAGGTCTTAGAAAAATCGAGCCAACACGTTTTAGATCCAACACAGTGCCGAGATTTATAAACATTAAAAGCATTATAGCTGCAGCGGTGTATGTGAAAATTTTGTCATCTATACGTTTATTGCGCAGTACTCTTACCTCTAGCATTTCTTCA